TATCATGCAGATGGTATCTCGCTAACACTTGACCGAGTCTGTCATTTGCCGGAGCGTTATGCTTCTTCCTGTTCCTTTTGTTCCACATCCTGTCCAACTGGTTGTTTGCTATATAGTTCAAGTCTGCACCTATTATTAGATGGCCTTCTTTAAATTGTGTCAGCTCTGCCAAAACTGCATCTAAGAATGGGATCTGCATTTTATTAGGAGCATAGAGAGAAGCCAGTGTAATTTTAGAACCTTCTAGCTTGCCCTTCACGAATAGATACCTACCGAGTGGGTCCCTGACTGCCGCTTCTTGCACAAAATTGATGTTTTTCTTTATCATGATTGCCACTCCTCTCGACTTTGAGGACCCGCAGGCTTGTAGCTGAATTGGGTATAAGGGGTTCTTCAACAGGCACTCCTTGTCCGATTTAGAGTGTGTTTCCTGGAGAAAAAATAAATCTGGCGTAGTTCTTCTCAGATGTTGGTTAACTCTCTTTCTCTTAATGGCGTTGTTCAAGCCCCTAATGTTTACCGTGCTTACTTTCATCCTGATCAGCCTTGTGCCTTCTGTAAAAGTTCTGTCACTATAAAATTCTGGTAATGTCCCGTGTCTACTCGTCCCCTTATGGAAGACCCTTCCGTGCTCTGAGAGTCCAGATGTAACAATGCCTCACGGTCCTACATGTCCTTCTTTGGTTGCACTGTCTTGAGTTAATTATTCTGCTACAAATCTCAATTAGATTAGGTAATTAAATCAAAATAGCAGTAACAAACAATGAATAATAAGGATAGAGCACCAACTTCCGTACTCACTAGAAACCAATCTCTATGTCAAACAACTGTAATAAGTCCTATCAAATAAGAAACAATTCTTTAGAGTGCTACAACTGTGAGGTCAGATCCTCTACGCTTAGGGTCCAGCTTTTAACTGATGTGATCTATAACTCTAACTTTAAAAATTCAACTTTATTTAACGTTTAAAAAACTACCTATGTGACTTTTGTCTCCCCCTCCCCCCCCAGCCCTCCCACCCCTCCTCCCTCCCTTTTGTAGTCCCTCCCCTCTACCGTTACAGCGCAAGTTTCGTTTTTTATTATTTTAATCCGGGTGTCGTGCCCTGGCTCACTGACTTACCACTCCCCCCCTCCTCTGCGGGCAGGCTCAGTAAACCCCAGCCGACTCTACCTAAAAGGAGACGCTACCATGCCCGCGCCTCTCCCCCCCCCAGTTCAGAGTGTGATTTAAGCGACTCTTGTTTCTTTAGATCTGGAGATAATTTTGCTGATTTTCTTCTTCCTCTTTTGGCGGCTTTACTCAGTGGGTGGAGCATCCGCGATGTCATCCTGGTCTTCTGACTCCCTTTGGCGAATGGGGATCTTGGTGCTCCTTTCCGGCATGTCTGACTGCAATCTGTAGCGTTTCTGTGACCTGCGGTTATCTGACTCCTCCGTGACTCCTAGAGCCTGTAGCAGTTTCCCTCCTGTTTCTTCGTCTGAGGCTTGCAACGTTTTCCCTTGGAAAGCCACATGTAATCTCCCCGTAGGTAGCCATTTATACCTTATTCCTTTTGCGTTGAGTTTGGATGTAATTGATTTCAGCTTGTACCTAATGGCTAGAGCTTCCTGTGGAACGTCGGGGTATACGGCTATGCGTATATTTTTAAAAAGCAGGGCTCCGTTAGTTTTAGTCTCTTTTAAAATCATGCCTCGCGTCTCCCAGTTAACAAATTGTACCAGGATGTCCCTGGGTACTCTTTTTTTGGGGTTATTTGGGGCCCCGAGCCTGTATGCTTTGTTGATTTCCATTACCAGGGGTGGGTCGGCGATCACTGACTTCTGCAGCCAATCTCTCATAAATTTACTTAGACTAGTGGACTCCTCCGCCCCCTCCGGCATCCCTCTAAATTTCAAGTTCAATTGTTTGCTTTGAGTTTCAAGTACCATCAGGCGATCTCTTATTTCTGTCTCTGACTTGCGCAAGTCCATTACCTCCGTCTTTACAGTCGAACTTATTTTCAGAGCTGTTTCTGCCGTTTGCGTTGTGATGTTTAGTGCCGATTGTATTTCTAGTAACTGTTCTTTTATCGGCTGCATGGAGAATGTTATTTTCTCTCCAATCCTAAACTCCATTTTTTCTAAGATATCTGGGAGATCTTGAATGCTGAAGTTTGGGTTTGTCATTTTCGCTACTGAACCTCCGTCCGCCATTGTTAATGCCGCTGCGGCCGAGGCTTTCGGTCCAAAACTGAATTTCGCGTTGTTTTGGTTTGAGTTTGCCGCTACTTTTGCTGACTGTTTCGATGTGCTTGCTGATGAGTCGCCGGTTTTCCCCATTATTCTCGCTGAAATACGAATCGCTTCACTGGTTGGTATAGAGGGGTCGAGGAGATTTGCGGAGCGACGGTTTTAGGCTGCCATTACCAACGGCACCGCCGCGCGACTCCCATATCTGAGGTTGTTGATCTTTTCCCCAGCAATCTTAAGTCCCGCTTGTGATTCATCCAGGCCAGCATTTTGCATGATGTACTCTGCATATATATTAAATAAGCAAGGCGACAATATACATCCTTGTCGTACACCTTTTCCTATGCTAAACCAATCAGTTGTTCCATATCCGGTTCTAACTGTCGCTTCTTGGCCCTTATACAGGTTTCTCAAGAGACATGTGAGGTGGTCTGGTCCTCCCATCTCTTTAAGGCCCTGCCATAGTTTGTTGTGATCCACAGAGTCAAAGGCTTTAGCATAGTCAATGAAGCAGAAGTAGTTGTTTTTCTGGTACTCTCTTGCTTTCTCCATAATCCAGCGGATGTTGGCAATTTGATCTCTAGTTCCTCTACCTCTTCGAAACCCAGCTTGTACTTCTGGCAGTTCTCTATCCACGTACTGTTGAAGCCTAGCTTGTAGGATCTTGAGCATGACCTTGCTAGCGTGTGATATGAGTGCAATTGTGCGATAGTTTGAACATTCCTTGGCATTGCCCTTCTTTGGGATTGTAATGTATACTGACCTTTTCCAATCCTGTGGCCACTGTTGCGTCTTCCAAATTTGCTGGCAAATTGAGTGCAGCACTTTAACAGCATCATCTTTTAAGACTTTGAATAGCTCAGCTGGGATACCATCACCTCCACTAGCTTTGTTGTTTCTAGCAGTGGGCTAATACTTCCGATTAACATAAGAACATAAGAGACGCCAATGTTGGATCAGGCCTGAATCCTGTGCAGACTGAATAGGCAGATTGTTCCACTGAATTAGATTCTGTTGAAGCTCTTCTGATATACAGTCTTCAGGTAGTCTGTCTTTTGCCCTTAACGTTTCATGGTTTTGATGTTTTTTCAATAAAGGCAATATGACTAGATTATTAAAAACACGAACAGGGAAAATTCCTTTGGTTTGCAAGAAAAATTTATGATGGAGCAATAGAGTAGGAATCCTTGAGCTTTCAAATGATAGCGTGATTCTCTTTGATTGATTCAAACTATAAGTTACTCAATATGAATTAAGTCTATAGAAGATGGTCTCATGTTGAGGAGGGTACTTAGATGGTTTCTCTTCAGATCGCATAAGTGTAATCTTCTGGTTGGCAGGGACGCCTAAGATGGGAATGCATAGATGCTTATGTGCACTTTGCTTACTGTGCAAAAAAAAAAAATGGCGGCCATGAACTGGAAACCCCAAATCGCTTGGCCACATGCCCGGGACTGCGGAGTGCTCCCATTAACATCGGACTTTCCCTGGTATCTGTCTAATCCGCTTGGGAGACAGATTAGAATGGGAGTCCAACAACTGGGGAACAGGAGCCAGATGTCGCAGTCTGATCTTCCCCTTTTAATCCACAATGGAACCGTGAAGAAGAAAGTGGATAAAACTGCCTGTCTGGCTGCAGCCAAAGACTTGCCTATGCAAAGAAAATAATTCCGTCTTCCTGTGGGAAAGGAGGGGGGGGCATATCAAGAGAGCCAAGCACAAAGACAAGAAACTGAGCGGCCAGAAAGAACAATGAGTGCTGTTCCTTCTGAAAGCGCAAGGAAGCAAATGGCCACGGCAACAAAAAGAGAGGGTTTTTTTTCAGAGCAGATGAAGAAAAAAGTACCAATCGCTACAAGCGTGTGTGGAAAGCAACAATCAACTCTGTGCCTTCTTATACTGACATAGAGATATTGCTGTCAAGTGAATATTTTTTTAGAAACTTGAAGATTTGCCGATACAAGGGACAAAATTTCTCAGTACTGAGGCAGGGGAAAGGCATCATGGGGCAGTGTTTACCCACGGTCACAGTCCAGCCAGAGGAAAGAGGGAGGAACCAACAAAAGCAGAGGAAACATTTTATACGCAAACAAACACAACTCAAGCTCAACTGCTATAAAAAGGTTGGGGTAAAAGTGGCCCCAAAAGTACCAGAACAAAATGGGAAAATGTGAGGTGAGAACTAATGGCTCCAGAGAACGTGGGGGAAGACAAGGGGATAAACCACAGAAGGGGCAAGAACTGATGCAATATTACTGTGAAGAAAACGCCTGAAATATGGTGACTGGTTCAAGTCATCTAAGTAAGTTTCATGGCTGAGTGGGGGTTTGAGACTCCCCAGCAATCTGACATTCTAACCCATACACCACACTGGCTCTGGTTCTCTCCAGTTTTCAGGGGCCACGTTAAGACTGCCACTTCTTTTTCAGATTCAGTACAAAATTATTGTGTCCAAGGTTCTGTCAGTAGTGACACGATCGTCTACTTACTTTCGGGAGCTTTAATGGCCATTTCATTTTTGAGCATTTACCTCCAGATAAAGGAGTAATTGGATTGCTCTTTGTAGAATTAATTATGATTCAAGGCTACAGAGTTGGATTTACTTGTTTTTCAGGACTAGACATAAAACTCCTTCTGGAATTTATATATTTTTTGCATATTATGATTGTATATTGTTTTTAATTATTTGCGAGCTACTTTGAGGGTTATACCAGAAGCCAGATACAATTTTAATGCATAAATATAATCTAAGCACATATTTGTACCTACCTGAAAACTTGCAACGATGCCCATTCCAACACAACCCAGCACACCAATAATTAACGTAATGAAATTGAAATAAGGAGGAATGAAATTTGTCACGTCATTCTGCTTCTTTATAATTAAATATTTTGTATACATTGTCGCTGCACCTAAAAAAAGGCAAAACCAAAAATTATTCATGAACTGAACTAAGCGCATCTAGATTATCTAGTACAGAGCTTGATTTAGTCCTAACCACATGTGGAAGAAAAAATCATGCTTATCAGATAATAATGCATAACTCTTCACTTCTGCCACTGCTTTCTGAATTATTCCAATAATAGCAGCATAACTGCAGATATTAGCAAGTGACAACTCTATCTCCATATGCCATGAAAAGCTTCACTTGCTAATTTTTGCATACAAATCTGTTTATAAAGGCAGTTTTTTCTCCCTGGCCAATTTGCAGTCCTAAATACAATAGACCTAATTCAAGAAAAACATTGTGGTCTCAGTTCTCATGACCCCCAATGTCTGAAAACACCTGATTATTATACCACTAAGAAGAAGAAGAAGAGATTGGATTTATACCCCGCCCTTCACTACCCAAAGGTGTCTCAGAGCGGCTTACAAACTCCTTTCCCTTCCCCTCCCCACGACAGACACCCTGTGAGGTAGGTGGGGCTGAGAGAACTCTTGACAGAAACTGCTCTTTTTCAAGAACAGCTGTGTCAGAGTTATGTCTTGCCCAAGGTCATCCAGCCAGGTGCAAGTGGAGGAGTGGGGAATCAAACCCAGTTCTCCCGGATTAGAGTCCGCGCACTTAACCACTACACCAAACTGGCTCTCTAACCATGTTTATACACTTTAATACCTGGCAGACTATTTATTTCAATAAATGAATATGTATAAAATATACATACCTAGAAATGCAGAAACATTAATCATAAACCCAAAGATACCACTTTCTGGAGGCTTTGCACCTGTGTCACTGCAATAAATGAAAACAAAATATTTTCACATTCAAGGAATACATTTACATCTATTCTAATTAATTATAACTGAATTTACTGCTCTTTAAAAGGTTGTATTAAATATTGCAATGTCCATGCTCATTTTTTAAACATTTGCTATTCTGTTGAGAGAAATCCTTCTAATCCAGAGAAAGCTGTGAAGTTCCTTTAAAATCATACAGACTACTGCCAACACTCCACAATGAAGTGCTCAGCAGCCTGATAACCTCCCCCCCCCCCCATCAATAAAACTGACAACCCACTGACTTCAATGAAACTTACTTCCAAGTATGCTTGGAATTGCCATCTGAGGCCGGGGGACTTAAACAGAACTTGCAGACCCATTCTAAGCATGGTAACCAGGAAATGTCCTATTTTCTTCCACAGAATTGTTTCAAACTACGTGTGCATAAGATTACAACTTTGGTGTGTGTGCGTGCGTGTGATTATTTTACATATACCTTCACATAAAGCAACTCCTATGAGGTAGCTTAGATGGAGAGAAAGTCACTCATCCAAAGTTAAGTTCAAGACTGAATAGGAATTTGAAATATGACAAAAACAAATCAGTGTAAGAGAATTATTTATTGAGAAACAAGTTTGACAGTCTCCCTGAATTCTCAACACATTTCCAATGTTTGTGTCCTTCCTCAGGGAAAACTGATAATCCTTTATACAAAAATGTCTCAGAAAAAGATAGTTCTTTCTCTATCTAGCTGGCAAATTTGTCTAGAAACTTAAAACTGCTTCTCCCTTTCAGTCCACACCCATATCCAAATGCAATAATAAACTACTCTACTGCCAACACTCTAGGCACATATTGGACTGACAGACCACAGTCCTATTACCAGGGCTATGCAAGAAAATTTGACCTCTACTTGTGCCAATCAACATCCAGGTTCCCTATCTTTTGTTATCATATTAATTTCATTTAGATGCCTTTCAGAAACACAGGCCATTTACGCCCATTATGGACACATATCTTACTGCAGATTCTCAGAGCAGTAAGCCTTTAATCTTTACTTCAGATTCTGTGCCTGCCTTACACACCATTCTTTTTCCTCTGGTGTATTTATTCTGCAGCTACAATTAAAAACCCACACTTTTCTAAATCAGGGTGGAACATCACTTGTGACATGTGGGGGGGGGGGGGGACATCCAAAGTTTTTTTTCAAAAAAAATTATGCAATTGCCCTATCATAGCTGCGCAATAGCATCCAGCAAGCACCTTCTATCTAAATCCTTGTGGTTCAGGTTTTGCACATGCATTTTAGGGTTAGTTCCTTGAATGAATGAAAACAGAAAGGAATGCAGGCAAAGGGGGAAAACCCACTGTTGAAATTGACCAGTTTTTTTTCTGAAACAGCAGCTAGAAGCCACATTTTCCATGTTGCCGAGCTCTAGGGAATTCTCTTCTGTGTTATTGGCCACTGTGAAAAATGGGAGTCATATGTTCTCATAATATGGGGGAACATGTTGAGTGTACAGATTGCACAGCAGGACCCACTGACACTGGCATTGCAAGCTGTGATCGTTAGCAACGTGTGTGTTTGTGCGTGCACCTGTGCAAAGTCATAAGAACATAAGAGACGCCAATGTTGGATCAGGCCAAAGGCCCATCCAGCCCAACACTGTATCACACAGTGGCCAGAAATACCAGTGCCATCAGGAGGTCCACCAGTGGGGCCAGGACATTAGAAGCCCTCCCACTGTTGACCCCCCCCCAAGCACCAAGAAGACAGAGCATCACTTGCCCCAGAGCCCCTATCTATACCTTGTGGCTAGTAGCCACTGATGGACCTCTGCTCCATATGCCTATCTAATTCCCTTTTGAAGCCGTCCATGCTTGTAGCCGCCACCACCTCCTATGGTAGCGAATTCCATGTGTCAGCTGCAACTCCACCACACTTTGCACAGGGCTGCAATTTATATGAGGGAAGAGTCCCTTGGCAGAACCTCTGGAGAGCTTTTTTAGTCCTGTGCCACTAAATTGAAAAATTGAAAAAAAATTCCTTCCCTCCATTGACTGAGGTCTCTCCCCCCCTTTATTCTTGGAAGGGAGGAGGGGAGGGGAGGGGAGGGGAAGGGAGAGATGGGAGTGAGGCTCTGACGGCATCGGGATGTTCCTCGTGACTGTCTTAACACTCCTGACCAGTGTTCCATCTCAGCTGAGTTAGTGTGAGCTAGCTCACAGTTTTTTAGCCTCCGGCTCACACATTTTTGCCTTCGCTCAGGAAGGAGGGCTCCAGAGCAAACTAATTGATGCAGTAGCCAAATTGTTTGCTCACAACTTTAATGCCGGTAGCTCACAAAGTAGAATTTTTGCTCACAAGACTCCACAGCTTAAAGGGAACATTGCTCCTGACTCTCCATTGGCTTCTTTGGGAGCAAGGCGAGAGGGCTTAAGGCCATGTGGTTATGATCGGTATCGAGGAGAAGAATCTTTCCATCTGAAGCTGTGTGCAAATCACCCAAAGGCAGGTGGGATTGCTTTGCTTGGGCTCCAGACTCCCCTCAAAGCCCTGTGTGCTTCTGTAGTGCACTCGTTTGGAAAGCTGGGGAATGTTGACACCCCCACGGGCTCTGCTCACCTCCCTCCCCTTGATGAAGCCTAGCAATGTTCTCCCATTTAGCAACACAGTGTGAAAGGGTGCGGAGTTGGCCCTGCTCACAGGAGGAGGCTGCTGTGTCTGAGCAGGTTTGAATGGCACAGCTCCTCTCCCTCCCTGCCTCACTATCTACTAACTCAGCATCAAGATCAGGTTTCTCCTCTCGTCGGCAAATCCTTTTTTCTTTTTCTTTTGCACTGGGGATGCTGCCATTTGTTTCCTCTCCAATCCCACTTTCAAGTCAATATCAGCTAAACCTTGTGCAGCTCATTTTAACACCCCCCTCTCCGGTTTTAATTTTTTTTTTAAATTCAGCAATCCAAGACTAGTGACAGACTCATGCCGCTTGTTTAAATTTTTTAAAATTAAAAACTACGGGGAAATGGAGCTTGTACACCGACGAAGGGGGGAGGATGGCGGAAGGTGCAGAGTGGGAGGAACGACCTCAATGTGGGCGGTGGAGTAACCTTTGAGGGGCAGGAATTGGGCACACCGGGGGGGGGGATTTGATGGATTCAGTATGCTTTTGAATTACCTTCGTCTTGGAAGCGAAGCAAGGGAAAAACCGGCACAAAAGCACCCTCAGAAAAACCGGGGAAATAGCGAATGGAAAGTGAACTGAGCACTGAAGGGAGGCAAATCAATGTAGAACAAAAAAAAAACCCACACCCAACAGACATGCACAGTGAAAGTGAAGCAAGACACCCATGCATAATAGGCAATATCAACTGACCAGGGTCACGACTGCCTTACCAGGGACAGGAAATGGATGCTGCCCTCCTTGAACAGATTGGTACAGTATCCAGACATCAGAACCTTATAATTATGGGAGGCTTCAACTTCCCTGATGTGTGCTGGGAGACAGGCTCAACAAATCAACAAGAATCACGCAACTTCCTGACCTGTCTGGCCAACAACTTCCTTTTTCAAATGAAGGAGGAAGCTACAAGGGGCTTGGACATACTAGACTTAATATTAATCAACAGGGAAGAATTGGTAGACGGGGTGAAGGTGGTGGGGACCTTAGGGGGAAGTGACCATGTCCAATGTTCCCTCTAAGCTGTGGAGTTAGGGGGAAGTGACCATGTCCAATGTTCCCTCTAAGCTGTGGAGTCCTGTGAGCAAAAATTCTACTTTGTGAGCAACTGGCATCAAAGTTGTGAACAAGTGATTTGGCTACTGCATAAATTAGGTTACTCTGGAACCATCCTTCCTGAGCTAAGACAAAAATGTGTGAGCCAGAGGCTAAAAAACTGAGCTAGCTCACACTAACTCAGCTTAGAGGGAACACTGACCATGTCCTCCTTGAATTCCAGTTGCTGTGGGGGGTCAAGGAAGTTTGTAGCCAGACTCGTAGGTTAGATTTTCGTAGGGCCAACTTCAATGGACTCAGAGGCTTGATGGAAGTCATTCTGTGGGAGAGTATGCTGGAAGGGAAAGGAGCGAGTGAAGGGTGGGCTCTTCTCAAACATGAGCTTTTGCAAGCTCAAGCCCTCACTATTCCAGCAAGACAGAAATATGGTAAGGGCTCCAAGAAACCGATGTGGATGAACCGAGAGCTTCAGAATAAGCTAAGGGAGAAAAAGGAAATGTCAGGAAATTGAGGGAAGGTGAGACCTCGAAAGAGGAGTATATGAGATTTACTAGGTACTGCAGATCAGCCATCAGAGAAACCAAAGCTTGGTATGAGTTGGGTCTGGCCAGGGGGGCTCACTACAGTAAGAAAAACGTCTACAGACATGTGAGAAGCAAACGCAAGGTAAAAGAGACAATTGGACCACTTTTGGGAGTAGAAGGAGAAACTCTGGTGGAAGACAGAGAAAAAGCAGACAAGCTTAATGACTTTTTTGCCTCTGTTTTCTCCCAGAACTCGAGCCCATCTAGAGATGGTATAGGACATAACAGGGCACCTGAGTGTCCAGTTGACATCGACAGGGAGGCTGTGGAAGGGCACCTGGCTGCACTGGATGAATACAAATCCCCTGGGCCAGATGGTGTGCACCCAAGAGTGCTCAAAAGAGCATTCTAAGGAACTTGCAGAGCCTCTGTCCATCATCTTCAAGGCGTCCTGGAGGACTGGGGATGTGCCACAAGATTGGAGGAGAGCGAATGTTATCCCAATCTTTAAGAAAGGGAAGAAGGATGACCCGGGAAACTACAGGCCAGTCAGTCTGACTTCTGTTGCTGGGATGATATTAGAGCAGATTTTAAAGGGATCGATCTGTAAGCATCTGAAGGACCACTTAGAGATCCAGGGAAGTCAACATAGTTTTGTCCCCAACAGATCTTGTCAGACCCACCTGGTTTCCTTCTTTGATCGTGTGACGAGCTTACTAGATCGTAGGAACTCTGTTGATGTGATTTACCTG